TTGTTTGTGTGTGTATGTGTGTATATATGTGTGTATGTGTGTGTGTGTATATGTGTGTATATATATGTGTGTGTGTGTGTATGTGTGTGTGTATGTGTGTGTTTGTTTGTGTGTGTATGTGTGTATATATGTGTGTATGTGTGTGTGTGTATATGTGTGTATATATATGTGTGTGTGTGTGTATGTGTGTGTGTATGTGTGTGTTTGTTTGTGTGTGTATGTGTGTATATATGTGTGTATGTGTGTGTGTGTATATGTGTGTATATATATGTGTGTGTGTGTGTATGTGTGTGTGTATGTGTGTGTTTGTTTGTGTGTGTATGTGTGTATATATGTGTGTATGTGTGTGTGTGTATATGTGTGTATATATATGTGTGTGTGTGTGTATGTGTGTGTGTATGTGTGTGTTTGTTTGTGTGTGTATGTGTGTATATATGTGTGTATGTGTGTGTGTGTATATGTGTGTATATATATGTGTGTGTGTGTGTATGTGTGTGTGTATGTGTGTGTTTGTTTGTGTGTGTATGTGTGTATATATGTGTGTATGTGTGTGTGTGTATATGTGTGTATATATGTGTATGTGTGTGTGTGTATATGTGTGTATATATGTGTATGTGTGTGTGTGTATATGTGTGTATATATGTGTATGTGTGTGTGTGTATATGTGTGTATATATGTGTATGTGTGTGTGTGTATATGTGTGTATATATGTGTATGTGTGTGTGTGTATATGTGTGTATATATGTGTATGTGTGTGTGTGTATATGTGTGTATATATGTGTATGTGTGTGTGTGTATATGTGTGTATATATGTGTATGTGTGTGTGTGTATATGTGTGTATATATGTGTATGTGTGTGTGTGTATATGTGTGTATATATGTGTATGTGTGTGTGTGTATATGTGTGTATATATGTGTATGTGTGTGTGTGTATATGTGTGTATATATGTGTATGTGTGTGTGTGTATATGTGTGTATATATGTGTATGTGTGTGTGTGTATATGTGTGTATATATGTGTATGTGTGTGTGTGTATATGTGTGTATATATGTGTATGTGTGTGTGTGTATATGTGTGTATATATGTGTATGTGTGTGTGTGTATATGTGTGTATATATGTGTATGTGTGTGTGTGTATATGTGTGTATATATGTGTATGTGTGTGTGTGTATATGTGTGTATATATGTGTATGTGTGTGTGTGTATATGTGTGTATATATGTGTATGTGTGTGTGTGTATATGTGTGTATATATGTGTATGTGTGTGTGTGTATATGTGTGTATATATGTGTATGTGTGTGTGTGTATATGTGTGTATATATGTGTATGTGTGTGTGTGTATATGTGTGTATATATGTGTATGTGTGTGTGTGTATATGTGTGTATATATGTGTATGTGTGTGTGTGTATATGTGTGTATATATGTGTATGTGTGTGTGTGTATATGTGTGTATATATGTGTATGTGTGTGTGTGTATATGTGTGTATATATGTGTGTGTGTGTGTGTATGTATGTGTGTGTGTGTATATATGTGTGTGTGTGTATATATGTGTGTGTATGTGTGTGTGTGTGTATATGTGTGTATGTGTGTGTGTGTGTATATATGTGTGTATATATATGTGTGTGTGTGTGTGTGTGTGTGTGTGTATTCCAAAGCTAGCTTTACCTTGTCTAAAATGCAACTTTTTAAGGTTTTTTTATTACAGGGATGCACCATTTATTAGTTCTCATTGAACATGTGGTATGGATTCTGTTGTGCAGGGATAACATCTCAGGATAAAGGAACTTCTAATGTGAGCATAATTGGCCAGCGTTTGAACTATGGAAATGGATCTGGTGAAAATGAAGATGATAAGCGGAGAGAAGTATCACCCAGTGTTTTCAAAGGTCAGAACAAAGACCACCAAAGACATTGTAAACCTACAAAAGGTTAGTGAGTTTCCAACATTGCTCTCAACTGTGTATCCTATTTATCATAAAAAGAGCATTTTAGCTGTTTTAAAACAGGTTTTATAAAAATAGTTCATAGCATTCAACTTGGTCCTGTTTTAATTTGTTTTGTTTACTTTTCAGCAAAAACCTATTCATAGCTTTATACATCTGTTTTTAAATTAAGCCATTGTTTGCTAATAATATTTAGTTAGGTTGCTTTTTATGTTTACATCCTAGTGAAGTCTTGAAAAGTTGTGTTGTTTTAGCACAAAGCAGTGATTAGGAATGTGCCAAAACTCCTGTTTCCTGCATCATAAACAGTCCTTTTTAAAGGAGTTCAGCTTCATCCTATTTCTCTGGCTGTGGAAGTTGTAAGCACCGTGCAGTGATAAAGTTCTCTTTAATTACATAAGCTAAAATAAAAGTTAGTTTGAAATACTGCAGTCTTTCACCTTGTTCATTGCTTATGCAAATCTGGTTGATCGGCAGTAGTTAAAGTAAACACCACATGGCAATATTTTTTTTTACAAATATGGAATAAATCAGCCTTAACCCAAATCCTGATTGATGGGTGTGAAGTGCAATGAAGGTTTTTGAGAGTTTGTCCAATAAAAGTATTGTTTTCTGCTCTCTTTTTTTACCATAAAAGTTTGAGGATTTCATAGAAACATAGAAAACATAAGGCTGGAAGGGATCTCGAGACATCATGTAGTCCAACCTCCTGCTCAGGGCAGAAGATGAGATGCAGCCTTGGTGCAAGGGCCCTCCCCTCCCAGGGAAATGTTCTGACCACTGGGCTACAGGTGCACTCTTTGGTTTGTCTACATGGGAACTCTGGTCATCACAAAAATGATGAGACAGTGATACTACAGGAGACTGCAACCTGAGCAGTTGGGTTAGAGGGGAGAAAGGATTTTAGTCAGACTGTCCAAAAATGGTTTTACTCTGTTTAACCCACAATGTCTGTTGAATACAAAGCCCTGGGTCATGGGCTGACTGTACTAGTTGTACAGCATTTGGGACAATGGGTCTGAGGCTATAGTAATATAAATTGTAATAGCATTTTGCTAAAGACTTTGTACCCTCTGCTTGTGTGACTAAGTTATGAGAGCCCACAATAATCATCTTGTGGAGTCCTAAGAAGTTATGCAGAAGAACTTGGAACGCTGGGGCTGGATATAACTGAATTTCAAAGGGATGGAATAAGAAAAAGCAAATTATGTGTCTTTTGGAGTCTTTATGCAAAAGCTTATGAATGCTTCTGAATCTCCAACTTGGGTAGCGCTAATATGTTCCCAAGCCTGTGCGCCGATCTGCCACTATCACAGATTAACATAGCTGTATTTGCAGCCAGGCAATCTGAATGAACATATAAAGTATACATAGTTTGGTTAGGTGAAAAATTGAAGTACTGGTGCATTAAATGCTGCTGGAAGCAGCAAATTAGTGGTTTTCAGCAAGTGCTGAATTAACACAATTGGGCTGAATTATTGAAAGTTAGGTGCCTGTAAAATGTTTCCATTAAGTAAATGAATATTTAATGTTTTTGACAGGTTATGCTTAGCATACATCATAAATTGCCTGCTTTCTGAGGATTTAATCATTCATCATGCCTTGCCATACTTCAGTAACCTGGAAGTACCATTGTGTTTAAAAGTGATTAATCAATTCTAACAGGATCCTAAAAAAATGGAACAGTAGTAATGAATAAATTACCTGATTTAACTTTAGCTTTTTTTATGTTTAATTTTTAGTATTTACAGGGTCAACATCTAGTTTGCAGCAAGCTAACAACCTAGACCTCATTTCATCGAGTGGCCTATCTGAAGATTCAGTAGTAGTTGTTGGAAAAGGTATTTCACATATTACCCTCTTTCTTACATGATATATTTAACATAGAAATAAAATACATATTTTTGGAGGGTTGGAAGAGGTGGAATTGTTCATTCAAATAACTGTAATATAAAGTTTAAACAAGGCCCAGTTTTTTAATTAAAAAAATAAAAACCCATTAATGTTGGAACAAGCCTTGTCTTCAGTCCCCAACCTTCACTGGTCTGTAACTCGTTGTAGGCCAGATCTTACTTTGCTCTTCCTGTCAACCTGAAGAAACTAGTGTCTGTAGAAACCAACATTTCCTGTGGCTATGAGCAATGTGAGAGGGTCTTGTGGCAACATACTGGTTATAAGCATTGCATACACTTTAATCTCCATGATGAGAAATGACGTCTACATTATACTGCAATACTGGCATTAAACTTTGAATAAAATGGTGAAAAAATCACAAGGGCCAGATTCTGCCCTTGGACAGTCATATACAGACATGTGGATGGTCCCAGCATGTTTACTGGAGCTGTGGGGCTTGGTACAGACATTCAAAAAGCCCAAGGCAGAATTGATTTAAGTCACAAGTTTTTCTGTAAACGACCATTTAGATCGGTAGTGAACAGAGCACACGTTTACCTTTTGAAGGTGGGGATCATAGACTGGGTTCCACCATTTTTAAACCAGTCTGTGTGTGCCAAACTTTTGTTCGGTTATGGGTGTAGACTGGTTTCTGCTCACTTATACTGGTAAAAGTGTAACGTCTGTACCTGGCTTGTTAGTTTATCTCTAGATAGTATTTGGTGGTAACATTTAGTAGCAACATGTTTATATTCTGGAGTTTTGGGCCCTGGACAGACATAACATCCATAGTACTACAAGTGCCCTTGTAGCGCTACCCAGTCTCTCAGGAGCTGCAGCAGGCTCACTGACTGGCTCTCCTCCCCCAGTGGGTCAGGAGGAGCAGAGCTGCAGGACCAAGACATGATCCTTGGCTGAAGAGATTTTTGTGGGGATTTCATACCACTCCAGCCAGGGGGCTTGGTAGGAGTGTGTTACATCTTTCTGATTTTTAAAATGCTTCGAAGTGCTGTTGAATTTGCAGTGCTGAAATGTTACATCTGTCTAGGGCCTTATTTTGCTTTAGTTTATTATTGAGCAAGTTCTGCTCTGTGAAAATGGCATTGTGGTGAGTATACGATACGACATGGCAATACATGTGATACAATATAATCTGACACCATTTCAGGTGTCTTTGGAAGCCCCACCTCTGCGCCACTAACGTACAGCCAATCCCTGATATCGTGCGTGGAGAACAGTGATGTCCACTCTCTCAAGCAAGGCATTGAGCCACCGTCAGGGATCTATGGCAGAGCCGTCCAGCAGAGCAGCACGCCTTATCTTGATATTGAAAATGAAAAAGATGTAAGTGTGTCAAGCAGATTTGATTTTTTATTGAGTGTCATTAATGAATGCAGCTTTGTCTTCTCCAAATCCCGATAAATAAGTGTTTAATTATAGCTTGGTGGCCGGTGACGGAATATAGAACATTTTTGAGGTTGGTGGTTCATTTCCAAAACAGGTCGGAATCTGTGAATAAAGACCAATTGGTGGTGAGCTTCCGAATGACTTGGCAAAGTTTTCCTTTGACTTCATACGATTTTTTGCAAGTGTTCATGTGACCAGAGTTTTGCTTGTGCTAGTATTCACAGCAAGTTCCATGTAGGCCTGAAGCAGAGATTAATTTGATTTCAGTAATTCTCAATTTGGGGGAAAAAAAGTCTAAATACTGAATTTGTTGTTGGAAATTGTTCATTCAGCTCTAGTACTAACTGAAGCATATTCGTTTGGTGCATATTTGGTGACTATACATGAAAAAAGAACAAGGAAGAGCAACAAGGATGATCAGGGCTACGGAGCTGCCATCATATGAGGAGAAACTAGGACTTGTCTGCCAAGAAAAGAGATGCTGGGGGGATGCTGATACAAAATAGTAAATGGGGCAGAGAAAATAGGGATTCACTGTTTGCTATTTCTTAAAACGCTAGAACTAGGGGACCTAAAATTAGTTCTGTAGGAAGCAGGGTTAAACCTAACAAAAGCTTGTACTTAAACGGTGGAAGTCATTGCCACAAGATGTGGAGAGTGATAGTTTAACCCAGTTCAAGAGACTGGATAAATTACTGGAGGAAAAGTCCATCAGTAGGTAGTGAAGATGGTAGATGAGGGGGACGCCTCTGAATCAGAACTTCCCAAACCCCTGAATGCTGGAAGCTGCAATGGGGAGAGAAGCAGGGGGTGGGCAATTCTGGACATGGCCTCTTCACCCATCCGCTTGGCATCTGATCTCTACCACTGAGACGGGATACAGGGCTGGATGGATCTATGTCCTGACCCAGTACTTGGAAGTGCTTATATTGGGTATTGTGGCCATTATACAGTCCATAGAGCACAGATGTATGCATCCCAAAATGTCCATTAGCACTGACACTGATTTCTCCCTGAACAGAGCTGGGTGAAAATGGTTTTCCTGTCCATCAAAGTTTTCTGTTATTTCAAACATTTTCCTTTTCTGAATCAAGATGAACCTGATGTTTTTTAAACCGTATGTGAAAAGAGAAGGGGGAAGAGAGACCCTAGAATAGTGAAAAGCCCAGTAGTTAGGTTGTTCCCTTGGGATGCTGGAGACCCAGGCTCACGCCCCTGTTTCAGGGAGTGTTTAATTATGTGTACGGTGGAGGGGAACGGAAGGGGCAGAGAGAGACTCAGCCCAGAAATCTCTTTGGCCTGAAGATTAGGACATTTGCCAGGGATGCTGAAAATCAAGTTCAGAAACCTGGGTCTCCCACATGTGCCCTAACCATGAGCTTTTGGCATTTCTGGCAGGAGCATCTATTTCCGTCTCTCTCCTTTTTCTCTTCTCTCGCGCTCTCACACTTTGACCAGAAGTGCCACCCTGGACTTGTAAGACACATTCTGATCAAAGCCCATTTTGTCAGGAAATTCCCAGCTGGCGCTCGCTCTGAGCAGAGACTGTGGGCTAAATGGACATGGAGAACGAACCGCCTTTTAATGCCTGGAATGGGTCTTGCCTATTGTAGCTGGGGAATTTTGGCAAGGCAGTGGAGGGAATCAACTTCTCTTTCTGAACATACTCTATTCTGTGGACAAAAAGAGGACTTCAGGTTGTAGGGTTTTTAATCTAGGAATTTTACAAGTGCCATGTTCCCTTTAAAAACCATCTTGTCCAAATATCAGAACCATATGATGGTTTTACCAGGATCTGTGTTACATTTTGTTCATGTTCCCTAGGATTTGTCACATGAACATTTATCTGTGTAAAATGATGGTGCATTTAAACACCGTGCCTTCAGAAAGTTCAAATAACATATAAAGATTACTGAAATCTAAAAAATATGGTGACAATATATCTATTTCCTATGACTGGATATTTGACAGCATTTGAATAGCTTTTTCTCTTTTTCTCTACAGATAACAGAGAAACTGATTTAATGCAAATACTTTTAAATGTAAACAGGAAAGATAGACATCTTATTTAAAAAAATGCCAAGTCATACTTTTTAAAGGTGTTTTTTTTTTCCAAAAAATGGATTATTTACAAGTGAATAGGAGTATTCAAATGGGCCCAAACTGCCTACCTGTTACTTACATTGGTCGACAGTTACTCTCACAATCCTTCCACTGAAATTAAAGGACTTACAGTCTGGTTCTCAGTGCTGTCATAATTCAGAGACAGCCAGGTGGACTATTATTTCTGGCCCTACTTGTAGCAGACCTTCAGGTGCTAACCTCTGAAGCCAGTATGACTGTTCACACTGTGGAAAGAGTGTGTGTACACAAGCTTTTCTCCTGAGTTAGTGTACATAGATCTCATGTGCACTGCAGAGTAATAGCAGAAACCATATGTCCCTTGCTTAGGAAAGATCTTCCTGATGCTAAGATTCAGGTGATTGCTTGTGTTACTTTGTTTAAATTAGACAGGAGTGCGACTCTAATTTTTTTTTCAGGTCAAAGTTGCTATGTCAAAGTCTGCCCGGGACAAGATGAGGCAGAAGAAAAAAGAAGAAAAAGAACAGAACCATAGAGAGCATCAGGAAATGAAAGAACTTGAGGAAAAGGAACAAAATCCTTGGGAGCAACTTAAACACAGTGGACCGGAGAAAATGGCATCAGAAAGTATGTGGGTTTTCTTAATGTCATAGTGTGGTGGATTTGGAAGTGTATCATAATTATGGTATAACAGCTTTGATTATTTAAAGTTATGATAGCTCAAAATTACATAAAGTATTACTGGAATTTTTTCCCTGCAGTTTAGTCTCCCTAATGTATTTACTAATTTGTTGTTGGGTATAAATATTTGCAGGGAAGGAACAAAGACAGAACAGTTGAAAGAGTGTTTTTAAAATCTTTAGAGTCTAGGATTAAGAGATACAGTCTCTTCCCTTTTTCTGATTCTCCTATTCTATCTGTTTCCCAGATGTAAGTTGTTATGGAGATGTGTTAATGACATCAAGAAACGAGTCTTTCTCTTTAGAAAATATTGTCTTCAGTCCTTCATTGAAAAGAACACCTAGTTTAAAGAAGATGCAGTCTTCCATCTTGCTAGATTCAGGTGAGCTGTTAAAAAAGTAAGGTAAATGTACCAGACTTATAAAAACGTTGGAATGCTGACATGCTCAACAAGCCCAGAGTGTAGTCAAGAGTAGTATAATTTATTTGTAAAACTTCATTTTTAATATTATTTTCAATTAACAGAATAGCGGGAAGGGTGCATTTGCCACCCCATTGTAGGTCATAGCTTCTCTTGCTTTTTATTATGAATATGGTTTAATTACAGAGCATAGATGAAGTTTATGAAGTATGGATCAAAAACATTCTAGTACCTTTTTCATGTCTCCATCATTTTTAGGAGAAGAAGCAAATAGGAATCTCCAAAATGTAAGCAGTTGCAAGGACACATTGCATTAGACTATAGCATCGTTGAAATGCTGGCTCCATTGAAAACTATTGGAGAAAAAAAGCCAAAAGACGTAGGTGAAAATCTGCTTTCACTGAAGCTCATGGCAGGGTTTCTGTGGACTTTGATACTGCCAGGATTTCAGGATTTCAACAGCCTTGATTTTATAGTCACAAATCTGCTGCCTGCTGGGGCACTCAGACCCTGAACATGACTTCAGACAAGTGACTAATTCCACTGAAAGCAGTAAAACATCAAGCGTGTGTGTGTAGTGATTCAGGACTGTGGCCTCAGATTCTGTAGCTCTGAGTGCAGAATAGCTGCACATCCATCAGTGCCTAGAACATGAGAGGTTTTGCTCATTAGTTACTGACTCTCTTTACTTAGGAGAACGTAGAAGCCAATCAAAGGCTGCAAAAGTTGGTGTGTGGCAGGTCCTGGGAATATTTTTGGAAGGAGTTGTGTAGCATTGCTCAGCCTCAGTAACTCCTAGAATATCAAGTGACCATTTTTCCATAAGGTCCTCTCCCTGCTGAGGCAGACATACCTAGATTCCTGGGTTTTTTAGTTCTTACTGTGCCATGATGAAGATAGCAGTTCTTTGATTCAGCAGAGATCTGCTGGTCTCAGCTCCCTGATTCTCTGTGCAGCTCTGTTTCAACCCATTTATAAGTAAAAGCAGTCTGGGATTTAATCTATTCCACGCCAGCAAGAAGTAGTTCTCCAGAGACCACCAAGCAAGCAAGCAGAGCCAGAATGCAGGGCCTGGGGACTGCAAGAGAAGGTGCTTTAGGAACCACCTGTGCTGGCTGTGCATTCACTGGAGGCAGTTTGTGACTTGTGTATGGCAGAGTGGTGCTGGGAATCCCATGCAGGTTGTGTGCAGGCTTAGAAATTATTTGATCTGGTTTGACAACAAAACAGAAAATGTAGTTACATCTTTCCAGATGCGGTATGATATATCACATGTTGTGTTATGTTGTGCTATGGTATGCTTCATTATATATGATTTGATAAACTGGAGTAATAGCTCTTTCAAATTTAAAATTAATCATTCACTCAGGTTGAATATTTCTTTTAGCAACATTTATTTGGAGTGTTCATCTCTTTTACAGGTGTCCATGTAGGAACATCAAAGAGATTTCTGACAAGCTATTCATTCTTTAGACTGAAATTTTGTAGTATTTCCAAAATGTAGGAAACTAAATTGGTTACATCAGAAAAGTACATAATTGATAAACAGTGCATCACTTCTGAATGTTGAAAAATTCAGAGCTATTGGTATGGTACATTGGTAATTTTCAAATTAAACTTTTAAATAAATTCAAAGAACCTTCTTAAATTAACTCATAGTTTCTTTGGATGCATATGTTAGTACCTGAAAAACCTTGCATTTCTGTATGCAACTTGCTCTTCAGAGGCAGTAGCGGTATGCAGTTTCTTACATGTACCAAAAGATGCACTTGCAAATATTGAGGGCATGCCCAAGAAGGCAGCTAAGATGCAACTCAGTCTTTTACCAGTAGCAGGTTTTCCAAATCCCAAATTAAACTACTAACCCAACTTCATTAATGATCTTACAGGTGAAACATCTTCTGGACCAAAAGGACAGTATAAGGATCGGACCCCATCCGTCACTCACAGTCCAGAAATAATGGATCCATCAGAGCTGCGGCCCTTTTCAAAACCTGAAGTGGCACTGACAGAAGCTTTGCGACTTTTAGCTGATGATGATTGGTACATGTGCATATATATAATTACAAATCTGTATGCAGTTTGAGTGTAATACATGTAGCATTTGTGTTCATACTTACCTTTTAACCTTCTAACAAAACATAAAATCTGCTTAGTAATCTCTGTGCAAGGAAGGAAAGCCTCTTCCATCCCCATTTGGGATTAATACATGACTGTTTTAAGTCTGTGCTATATGTTCTAGCTCCTGTCATGTGATGATATTAGGATTTCAGCTTTCTGTGTTTAGTGAAGGTAGTAAGTCCTAAAGGCTGTAAAAAAACTAAGAAGGTGACCTGAATATACCCAGTGCAGGGTATATTCTGAGCCTGGATACAGCCTGATGAGAGGTCTGTGCTGGCACTTCGCATGCATCTCAGCGGGGTGCCCCATGATGTGGCTCCCACTAGTATAACGGTATCACTTCTAGTGGGGCAGTGGGAAATAGGCCCAGCTTCTGCTGCTCTTGGGGCTGTTAAAGGAGGGTCTGATGTTACCACTTCTCCCTGCTTGAGAAGGAAAGGTCCCCTCCCTGCTAACATCAATCCAAATGGAGGCAGGGCCCTGAGGACATGGGGTTATAGTGCACCCAGCCTCATGATTGCATTAATCCAGTTCATGTGCCATCTGTCCCAGAGACTTAACGGTGAGACTGCCTCCAGTTTAAAAACTTATTGCTCCCTTGAACTCTAATTTTCATTCTATGCTTGTTTCCTTAACATTCCCACTGCCGGTACTGATTCTGTGTGTGTTTGGTTTTGTGGGATAGTGTTTTTACTTTAACTATTTGTTTGATGTAGGGAGAAGAAAATAGAAGGACTGAACTTTGTTAGATGTTTATCTGCCTACCATGCTGATGTGCTGACTGTGAAGCTGCATGAGACGAGCCTAGCTGTGGTCCAGGAGGTTAATTTTTCATGTCAAAATTTTATACTGTTTGTTAGCTTTGAGGCAAACATTGTAATGAGGAGCACTATGTTCCTCTGTTGTTCTTTTTTCAGCACGGGCCATTTTGAAAGGGTGGGCAATGCAGTTCCATAAAGCAGACCATACCTGAGATACTCAGCTCTTTGCTTCCTTTGTTAAAACTGCTAAAATTAGCATGTAACCTTACAGCATTTTGATAGACTACATACATTACTCTCTTTCACATGATGAATCAAAATGAGAATGTCTCTTATTTATCTGTCATAGTTAAAATTTCCAGAAGAGAAAATAAAATTAAACTCTCCTTATTTAGTGTCCTTGTTTACTAAGGTCTTTTTCTGCGTTCAGGTGAAGAATTTGCGTTCAGGTGTTTCCCGGGCTGCCGTCGTCTGTTTAGGGGATTTGTTCACCTACCTGAAAAGGAGCATGGATCAAGAACTCGATAATACAGTAAAAGTCCTCTTGCACAAAGCTGGCGAATCCAACACCTTCATCAGGGAAGACGTAGATAAAGCATTGAAGGCAATGGTCAATAATATGACTCCAGCACGGGCTCTCTGCTCTCTTATCAGTGGAGGGCAAAGGTAATTTTCACAAAGAGCTTTGTAAGAAAAAGTTAAGACAAAGAGTTAGTGTGTTAGTAAGGCAGGTTTTCTGTAGCTTTCATAACAGAGTAAGCTGAAAATTTTAAAGGAAAACGTTCAGCCTGACCAAATTGTACCTGTTGAGGACAAGATATATTTTTTCTTTTTGGCATGCAGTTCAAATGTGAGGGGGGTTTTGTTATTGTATAGACTGCAGACTGTAATAGCGATTGCATGTTCTGATACATTTTATAACAGTTTAAAGAAGCTACGGTCAGTACCCTCTAATCAAAGTTCCTGATAATATTCCTGAGGACCCTTATAATACTCCTGGCAAAGCCTACATAGGTTGTCCTTACTTGCTGGCTGTTCTGGAGTCACAGACGTCCCTTCCTTCAACAGTTTTGGAAAAGTGGTTTTCTTTCACGTCTTGCCATCTTTGAACGCAGCCTTTTTTTGGTCCCTTTCACAGCATTCACTAGCAAATTGCTTTTTGTCTCTGCACACAAATTCTAACTTCCTGCATGGTTTTGGCGTGAGTTTTCACATGATTGAGTGTTGTCTTTCTTGTGTACCTCAAACAAGACTTGTCTCTAGTCCTGTTTCATTATTTGAATCCTGCCCTCCTCCCCTTTCAGTTTTGGTAGAGATTTTTATACTTTCTCTGCACCTTCTTTGCTAACCATTTTGTTCTTTTCTATTTATATTTTCTATTTATCTTTCACCTGAATGAGATCTAAGCCTTAACATCAGTCATAAAGATCTGTATAGTACACATGGACTTCCTTTGTTCGTTCTCTGGTCTGTCTTCCTCTGAACTGGTTAAACACAGATTTTTCATTCTTACATCCTCTATCAAATATCCCTGATTATTGCGCTCCTTAATTCAGATTTTAATTTTGCCCCTGGAGCTAGAAATGTTATAGTTATTCTGGATTCCAAATTATTTTTCTTCCTACATCTTTTCCTCCAAAGGTAGTGCCTCACAATTTGCAAAACACTAACAGAATTCATCCTTCTTGTGAAGTTTCTGCTGTAATCCTTATTTGTGTCTTGTTACTTTTCAGTTGATGGTTGTAGTTTCCTGAATACATTTCTGGCAATATAAAATACAGCTGCCTTAACCAGCAGTAAAAAATGTTCCGACTGCTTGTCTCCTGGCTGCTAAGCTAAAAATAAATCAGAAGCTAAGTCTTCACATTTGTCTGTCCAACCAGAAAATACAGTTTGTCCTTGTTTTTCCCTTCTTTCTTTCAGGTAAATATGTCATCTGCTATGATTGCCAAAAAAGGACTTTCTGCCATTCTCTGTTCTAATTGGGATTATTTTGACAGTGTGGGATGGGCTTCTTTTTCTTTTCTTTTTCTTTCTTTTTTTTTTGCATTTTATCTTGTTTGTGTATTTGACTTTCAGTTTGATCTTGGCTTTGCCTTAAGGTAAATAAAACTTCTACTCCACCATTAGTTTCAGAACTGTGACCACATAAAAAAATATTTCAAATTCAGATCAAATTTAAATATATAAGTAAAATAAAGGTAACATTTGATATATAAGTATTTTTTGTGGCATGCAAAGTGCTTGTTCTAATTCAGCTCATTTTAGAGTATCCCGGTGTCACCACCACAATGCTATAGATCAATGAGAGCAGCATTTCAATCAAGAGAGAGACATGCTGAAAGGCAGGTGGGCTAGTGATGAGCTGTTGCATCAGGTGTACCTGCACACTTCGTATGTTGTGGATTTAATTGTAGAGGACAGGCATAGACCCAGGGCACTAAGATTCATTCGGTACCAGTGCAGACCAGCCAAGCAGATTGTTGGCTTAACCTCCCATAATGAGCCTTTTTTTGAAAATCACAAGGCAAGTGCTGATCTTTGCCAGAACCATTTGCTGTTCTTTTCCCCCAATTAAGTGCAATGCTTTGCTCCTTCCCTCTAAACCTCTCAGGCCACTCTGCTATGTGACAGCAGCTTAGTGCTACCCTGCCCAGTGTCACTCAGCTCATTGGCAGGGAGGACAGACTAACATTTGCACTTGTCCAGAAGCACTTCTGCTCAGCCTGAACTTCCAGATAATAGGATTTTTCCCAGCCCACTGCATCCACATTTATTTTTGCTCAAATCAGCAGTATCACATCAGCTTACTATGCTCTATCAAGCCCTACCCTGCACCCTGTTGCTTTGTTGCTCTGCGTGGTCACTAAGTTGCTTGACCCAGTCTCTCTCTTTCCCCAACAACTTTGGCAGACCTACCCTAACTGGCTTTAAACTAGCTAGCGTGTGCATTGATAGCCACTTAGCTGTGGCACCACAGAGCTCAGCTCAGGTAGTTACCTGAGTGCGTATCCTGGTTCCCAGAGGGATTCTACAGCCGATGCTGTGCTCTGTGTTGCCATTTTATGCTGCAGTCAGGATCTGAATTCTCTTGTGTATGGGAGCCAGCCTCGCACCTTGAGCATAGTGCAGACATACCTGGAGTTACCGCTTTCCCTGCAGTTGCCTTTAACTTTCTTCTGCACCTCCTTTATTGCTTGTGCTTAGGCCTGGTAAGGTGTATAAACACAATTCTTGAGAATGTATGGCTGGGTATTCAAACTGGGATTTGTGTGCAGCATGCTGTCCCCAGTATCAGTGTTTTTATCTAGGAGCTAAACTCATTCAGGTGTACAGACTTGCTTGCCCAAAAATCATTGTGTCTTAATTTGCAGATGTAGTCCCAGTTGTAGTAAGAAGTTCTGCAAACTGAGTCAGACTTTTGTGATTTATTTTCATGAATTTAGTCACTTAGAGATACCACCCATGGTGGAAAAATAGACCTGAGTGCGATTTTTAGAGGCTGATAAAGATATTAATCTATATTCTTTGGTGCTTTATTTAGAATATGAATCAGCACATCATTTGTTGTCACAGGTGGAAAATACACATTTTACAGTTTATTTTTAATATAAAGTTTTTAATTAGTTCTCCTTTGCTTTAAAAGGAGCACTTCAGGGACACTCAAAAATAAAACGTTCTGCCTCAATTTGCAACCTTGCAGTTGCAGTATTTTGTGCATGGAAGAGGACCAGACAGTGCAAATGACTAAACAAAAGTGATATTTATTTTTATCTTTTATTATGCATTCCTGTGTACATGTGGTATGTATTTCTGTGTACAAAGGAAATTAATTTAGCAGTAAATGTCCTGTGTCTGTTTCCAGTCCATAGTATCTTTATGTACAAAACTAGAATGCCCATCTAAATTTCAGTAGGCCAGTAGAGCAGTTGCATCTTGTGTGGTTTATGCATCTATGCACCCTCATTGGAAAAGGGAGCAAATATCATGATTTAGGTGTTCCTTTATCCATCCTTTTCTGCTTTTTTTTCTAGTCACTTGCACACAGCGGTGAGACGATGTACAGCCCAACACTTATCAGATGTGGTGGAACGAATGGGACCAGGACGGATACTCTCGGGAATTAAGGATGTTACCGACAGGATTTTCCCTGCTATTGCCAAGTTTGCACAGGATGGCTCACAAGAAACAAGGTCAGTAGATAGAAGCCTAGCTTAGGTAAGTCAGTAGATAGGAGCCTAGACCATTATGCAAGCGGCAAGGATTTTGTGCGTGCGCTCTCTTTTATTGGACCAGCTGTATAGTTGGGAGGGATACAGACAAATTTTGGGGTACCAAGGAAAAAAGCAGGCACAGCCTGAGCTTAGCAGTAGATTGAACAGATCTATAAAGTTCTGTTATTTAGCTTGGGCTGTGTCTGTTTTTTCTCAGACCTGAGGAAGGGTACTTTGTGTCCAAAAACTTGTCTGTATCCCTCCCAGCCATAGAGTTGGTCCAGTAAAAGGTATTATGCACAGAAATATTTGCCTCTCACATATTTACTGGACCATCATGGCTACAACCTCACAATTAACCATTCCAAATCGAAACTAGACTGTTTTCATTCTTTAACTTGGTGGAATTAACCTGTTCTCACCCAAATCACTACTCTTGAGTGTAGCTGCTGTGCAGGAATAGGAGGGGTTTGAGGTACATTAATATTAGAAAAGTTTTCCCTTGTTATAAAATATGTATTGAAAGGAACTCCTCTTGTGATAAATTAGATACATAGGAATGGTCCAAATTAGCCTAACGCAGGGGTCAGTAACATATGGTCTGTGGACCTGGAGGCCTTTGCCTGTGCTTGTGCGCATGCTGTGGCCAGGCAGCAAGGAGTTACACTACAACTGGGCAGCTGGAAGCTGCACCTGCACTGCTGCTTCTTTGCCCAGCGCCCCCATTTCCTGGCTGCAGCATGGGCAGGGAGATAAGAGATGGGGAGAAGAGGCAGCAGTGAGCTCACAGCTTTTAGCTATCCAGTCCTGGCATAACTCCCCACCAGCTGGAAACTGTGCCACTGTTGTGGGGCTGGGGAAGTGGTAGCAGCAGTGCAGGCACAGTTCTTAGCTGTCTGGCTTCAGCATAGGCAAGGCAAAGCCCCCCACTGCTGATGTGCCAGTAAAGACACCTGGCCCATGTCGAACAACAGCCAGGTTGTTCTGGCCTGTGGCTTGTTAAAGGTTGCCAGCCACTGGCCTAATTTTTCTAGATCCAAGTATAATGGTTTGCTTTTTTGTAGGTACTATGGTCGAAAGATGCTGTTCAGTCTGATGACTCACCCGGATTTCGACAAAATGCTTGAAAAGTATGTGCCGTCCAAGGATTTGCCTTACATTAAGGAGTCTGTTAGCAATCTACGTCAAAAGGTATGCGGAAAATGCTTTGATTTAATTAATGGATCAGGAAGCTATATTAGGTCTGCTGGATATGAAGTGCAACCAGAGGGTCTACAAAGAATGGAAAAAGGGGTGGATTTGCAAAAAACGCTGTGTCTTAGAAGTCAAGAAGGGTAGAGATAGAGTGAGTTATGTCCCAAATTAAGATGAGTTAGACCTTGGAAAGGCTATCAAAAGAAATAGCAAAAGACTCTTCAGCCATGTAAATCAAACAGAATAGATTGGTTAGGGGAAAAGTCTGGTAACTTTCTCTCCTGAAAATTTAGCTCTGGATTAGGAATTTCAGCAGATCAGGTAGTGCTGGTCTGTGGGTTTATTTGTGACAACTTTGAGTTGCTGCTTAATATGCACATTGGTATGGAAACAAGAGAGATGAGGAGGGAGAAATTTAAAAAAGAAGTGCAGAGCTGAAGTGCCAGTGTTGAAATGTCTGTGCTGCTTAATTGAATGTCTTTGGTGTTGTAAGTAGAGTAAATTTACAATCTAGCATCTTTGCTATGGCCTTGATGTTAATACTAGGAATAAGTGGTAATTTTATTTTGAATTGTAAAATTTGAATGCCATTGCATAAGCAGATGAGTTATATAAATGAGAAGACACAGCAGAAACCTAATTGATAACTGCTTCTGTGGCAAAGCTGAACTGTCTGCTGCTGTTGGGAGAGCAACTGTTACGCTTGTCATTAGAGAGCCAACAAAATCACAGTATGCTACTGGATCATTTTCATTATATGTAGGGCCTGGGAGAGATGCCTCTAGATACACCATCAGCCAAAGGAAGACGTTCTCATGCTGGGAGTGTTGGACATTCTCGGTCATCATCTACTTCCAGAGATGCTCTGAATGTCACTGAAAGGTAGACCTGTTTTACTAAATCTCCTACAAGCAGTGTAAATAATTTGCAATTAAGTATTCTGTGCTTCTCCTAATTATTCTAAATTCCTATTATGCTAAAGTCTGTTCTTTCAGCTGTCATGAACTCTAGTGAGATTATTCCCTGTTCTGTCGACATCCCTGGAATACCATCAGTATGTGGCAGTATTATCACATAACAAAAAAGGGAGCTTGCATCTATTTAAGCCACTTGCTATATTAATCATGATAATACTGACTCTTGTTTTACTGGACAATAATTAAGCTTCTGTGCTGGCATGTAGGGAATTAAAAAATAATTGCTTACGTTCCAGCCTTGCACATTTAAGCTCATGCCTAACTTCTTTCACTGGAAATTGCTCACGTGAGTAAAATTAGGCTGGGATGGGGGTGGGGGTGGGGGAGTCCTTAGCCTTGTTTCATATACACAGTTCCTGAGGTTGCTGTCAGATCAAAACTTTGGTCATTCAGAGGCAGACAAGGTTCCTTGGGTGAATCTGATATCTTTTATTAGACCAACCCAAATAGTTGGAAAATAATTATTAGGCAAGCTTTCGGGTTCAAAAACCCTTCGTCCCAGTTGGAGTAAGCAGGTCTGCAATTTGAGTCAGAAACAAATGAAACTTGTACTGATGCGGGAGGGTACAGTTTGAAATGCAAAGTGTGTGAAGCAAATTGCAGGTAGAAGCAAGCAATCCCAGAACTCCTTTGAATCTATATAAAACTGTAACAAGCCAATTATTTGACATTCACTCTTGAATACCTAGTCAAGCCTACACTTCAACCTGGAGCAAATAATACATATGCAAGAAACCTCGCCATTTCAGGAAAAAATGCAGTGAATACTCTGTAACAGTGGTTCTCAGTCTTTTTAGACTTGAGGCACTCTTGTTGGACTCAAGGCACTCCCCCACAACTTTTGCAAATTAAGCAGCACCCCATTTCAAGACTAATTTATTTATTACAGTGCTTACCTCCTTGCAGAGGCGCTGGGCAGTGTGGGTGGCGCTGTGGCCAGGCAGCTTACCTTCAAACATCTCCTTGTTTCCTCATACCTCCCAACACCCTTCAAACGATCTCTTGGCACCGTGTTAGAATCACGGTTTTGTAGAGAAAACTTTGCTCGTGCTGCAGTGTGCTACGTGCCAGGGAGCAGCCTTACCTTTAAATCTTTGTTTACAAATTTGGGTGACAAAGGTAACTGCACTGATGTAAGAGACTTTTGTAAGGTGTTTAACTTAGTACTTTCTTGGTTGATTAAAACAACAGGATCCGTTGATGTTTTGAAATAGTAATGTTAAGTGAATTTGTAACTGGCTAACTGACAGATCTCAAAAAGTAGTCACCAGTCAGGAATCATCATTGCTAAGGGGCTTCCTCGGAGATTAGTACTAGATTTGATGCTATTCACCGTTGTAATCAGCGATCTGGAATTAAATTCAAAATTGCTGCTGATTAAATTTTTGAATGATGTGAAGACCAGGAGAAGAGCTGCTGCTGCTGAGAACAGGTCCCATCAAGTTGCAGGTTTTAATGCAGTCAGCAGGCTGTTGTGGCAGAATGGGAGACTGTATCTAGGAAAGCACTGACTCTAAGGATGCGTCCTTAGATGAACGTGGCCGTTTGTTTCCCTGGAGACAAGAAGCAATGGCAGACTTTGTACCACTGCTGCTTGTCCCCAGGGAGCACCCATGCCCTCCATGCTCTGGTGTGCAGCAGGTTACCCGGGTGGGGTGGGGGAGGCAGGGGCCAGCACAGTTGCTGGCCCTAGCAGTCTTACCTGAGATCCTGGGGGCCTCCTGGGGCAGCAGCTGTGGCAGGAAGACTGGCCGGCAGCCAGAGTGTGGCTCCAGCTGGCCAAGATCCAGTTTTGGGTGGCGTGTGCCGCCGCCATGTGTGCCACCCTGCCTTTTTATGGCATGGGTTTTTTTGACCCCGGGATCTTCCCCGCTCCCCCCACTGCAAAGTAGTAGCGTAGGGAACAACCGCATACGCGGTGTGTGGCACTGCGGACGGGTCTACAGCGCCACATACCTTCCATTTATAAACGGGGGTAATGAGTAGTAGCAGGAAAGTGTTTTTACCTTCATATGTGTAGTAACGAGACCAGTACTGAAATAATACTTACAGCACCAGGATAGCAAATGTTGAAAACAGTGTTGGAAAATTGGTGAGAGTGTAGAAAAGAGCCACAAAGTGCTTTGAGGGCTAGAAGAAATGCTTTACTGTGAGAGATTTTAAGAGCTCAGGCTGTTTGTAGTTTACTGAAGAGATTGAGAGGTGACTCGATTACAGTGTATGAGGACCTTTCCAGAGAAGAAACACCAGGCTCTCTAAAGGATCCTTTAATCTAGTGAAAAAATGCATAAGTGGGAGCTGAAGCCTAACGAATTCAGTTTGGATAAAAGGCAGAAAGTTTTAACAGTTGAGAGGATTAACTGCTGGAACCGGACTATTGAGTGAAGTGGTGCATTCTTCATCTTGTATGTCTTCAGGTCGGGATGCCTTCCACAGGATTTGGTTTAATCGAACACAAACTACTGGGCTCAATACAGAAGAATCTGCTCCAAGGGAAATGTAATGGGATATGATATACGCCATCTCTTTTCAGACTCATTTAGCCACCTCTTTTCTTTCCCAAAACCCCATTCCTCAGGAGAGGAGGAGCTTCATGTACTACATGTTTCCAAAGTTTTACTTTACTGCACTGAGAGAGGAAAATACTAAGATGCTCTTCCAGTTTATACCTGGCTGGTGACTGTTGCAAGGGTCAGGCCATCACATCACAAAAGATATCTAAGTGGCTAACATACTTGTATCGCATTGTACTACCCATGTGCTCCTCCTACTCAATGTTAAGGTAACATCAAGCAAGATCCCTTGCCTGCTTGATAGTGTGCTGTTACCCAAGATCTGCACGGTGGCATAGTAGATGCACTGACCAGAGCAGATGCCAAGTTTGGGAGAGTATTACTGATGCAAATTGTATTAATCTCTCCACCCTCCAAGGCTACAACTTGTCTGTCACCTTCAGGGGGATTTGCACGCACTCAAAGAAGGAATGGTTACTTATTTTACAGTAAATCGGTCTTTGAGTTGTCAGTGTGGATTGCACGACCTGTTCTCTATCTCTCCTGGCAAGTCCTGAACTAGCATGAACTTTTAGCTGTGAGGGAACTGAGAGAGTCCCATCCATTCCACCCTGAGTGCCCTGGCAGGGATGAGTGAGGAGTCCCAGGACGTGTTGCATGGGGCCCAGACAGACAGTGCTATTCAAAGGAAGCCAGAGTTGCACACGTGACAGAGATGCACTGGTGGTAGAATCTGTGAAACCTCGTTACTGTGGTATAAATAACCATTCTTTGAAAAAAAAAAACCAACAAACTTTCAAATGCCCAAAAATAAACTTTGATAAGAAGTGTTTCTATTTAATATTGATATGTTTACATCTATTTAATATTGATATTTTTACATCTAAGAGACTTGAGTGCGTGTAGATGTAGGATTACTGTTTTAGCTTCTCTGGGTGTTCAGTGAATAACAATGATACTTTTTTTCTTTCCAACAGGGAGATTACAGAAGCCCGTGAAATTATAAGAAAACCAATTCCTCGTAACTCTCTAGAAAGTGCAGAGTATGTTACGGCCATAACAGGTTTACTGAATGCAAAAGATTTCCGTGATAGAATTAATGGCATTAAGCAACTGTTTTTGGACACCGAGAACAATCAAGACCTCATTGTTGCAAACATTATTAAGGTAATTATATATACACAAACATTTTCTTTGAGAGACCTGACTCTCCTTGGTACAAAGTCTCAATAATAGTAATGTTCTGCTCTAAAGATGCCCAGTGTCACAAACCTTGGTTTGTTCTTTTATTAAGAAAATGTGACAAACAGGAGAGTAACAGAGCAAGTGAGGAGGAGGTCAGGTATGGCTTAAGGAAGAGATAAAGAAAGTATACAAATAGTGGGAATTGATTGGGGAATAAGAGAAGCTTAAGGTAGAGGTGGAAAAAGAATAAGGGGTTGGAAGGCCTGGGGAAGACCAGGGACATGACTGCAGAATAAATTACAGAATGAATGTGGGCCATTTTTCTAACACCTATTGTTTTATTCTCATCTTAATCGCAGGTTAGCTCTTTCTGTTTATTTCTAAAAAATCCTTAGTTACCAGTTTAGAATTGTTTATCTTCCTTCCATTATAGTTTCTCTGTATGTATAAGTGTTCATCTTTTATCAAATCTGGTTTTAGGGTGCTGTAGACTCTATGAATCTAAACCAGAGGTCACTAATTAATGGCTCATGGGAGCTATTGGATCCAGCCCTTATTGCTGGGGGGGCTTTGGTATAGAGAATTCTTCCTTTTATCTGTTTTACATAGTTCTGGAAACCCCTATTCCCTCATGTTTGGAGGAGGAGAGGCTTATTTCTAGTTTGTATGAAGGTAATAACTATTTCCAATGCGCTGGGGAATGCAGTTTTATAGTGAAAAATAGCATTACAGAATAGATTGCATTGAAACTCAGTAGAAGCCCTGCAGGGCCTTGGGACATCCAGTGTTTTTATCAGTGATCTCAAAGAAAAGTAATATTGGTAGAATTTGCAGCTGCAATCCTAGACTGCCACAGAGGACTTGCAGATGAAACATGTTTCTCAAAATGCTACAGGAGGGAGACACCCTACTTTTCTTGTGCTAAGTATAGTTCTGTCACAGCGAGCGGCTTGTTTAACAAATATGAGTAGAACAGAAAATGCAGTTGATTGGACTGAAAGTTACAGGTGGTTAGCGTAATTTTGTTATGTCATGTAGGATGGACTACAGTAAATATGGATGTAAATAGATGAATTGAATGAACATGCCATTTGAAAATACCAAGCATCTATTATTTGGTAAAAGGATACCGTGTCAGTGTATTGCACATCAGAGTTTGTTGTGATAAGCTGCAGAAATTGGATAACTCTGATGCCTGAGTAAATCAAGCTCTTCTTTGCTTACTTTTTCAGATCTTTGATGCTTTCAAGTCTCGCTTACATGATTCCAACAGCAAAGTAAATCAGGTGGCTCTGGAGACAATGTACAAGATGATTCCTTTGTTGAAAGACAACTTATCACCTGTTATCAATATGTTAATTCCAGCCATTGTAGACAACAACCTGAACTCCAAGAATCCAGGGATCTATGCTGCTGCCACAAACGTCATCCAGGCTCTTTGTCAACATTTAGGTAATTAACTCGCAGTGCTGACAGAAGTAATGTTTTGTCATGCGATAGGCCACCTGAAAGCACTCTACAGCCATGTCTTGACAGAAGTCCATGGCTGTAGAGCACTTTAAAACTGCCCAATCATGCGACAAATGGACCCTCATTACATGCAGGTTCAGGTGAGCGCCCTCCAAAGCGGAGCACCTTCATTAACTCCTGTCAGTGCGTGCCAGAAGCAGAGCTGGGCTCATGCAGTCCAGCCCTGCTCCTGATGCTGTCTTCAGGATGGGAGTCGGGGAAGGGAGGGGAGGAAGCCCTAACACCAAGTTATGGGGCAAAGTTAACACACGGGAGGGCAGGGAGCAGATACAGGCCAATCTGGACAGGTTGGATCAATGGGCAGAATGAAACAGGATGCAATTCAACAAAGACAAATGCAAGGTACTCCACCTAGGGAGGAGGAATCCCCAGCATATGTATAGGCTGGGGGATGACCTCAGCAGCTGAGAGGGATCTTGGAGTCATAGTTGATTCCAAGATGAACATCAGTGTAACAAAGCCATCAAGAAAGCCAATCGCACCTTGTCGTGCATTAGCAGATGCATGACCAGCAGATTGAGGGAGGTGATGCTCCCCCTCTATGTGGCATTGGTCAGGCTGCAGTTGGAGTACTGTGTCCAGTTCTGGGCACCGCACTTCAAGAGGGATGAGGAGAATCTGGAGAGGTTTCAGAGGGCTACTCGTGTGATTAATGGCCTAAGGGATCTGGATCTCTTCAGCTTTCACAAGAGACGGCTGAGGGGTGACCTTGTAGCTGCCTATACGTTTATCAAGGGGGACAACAGAGAATTGGAGATGTGCTATTTACCAGAGCACCCCTAGGAGTAACTGGGAATAATGGGTACAAACTAGTGGAGAGTAGATTCAGGTTAGGCATTACGAAGAAATTTTTCACAGTAAGGGTGGCCAGAATCTGGAACAGGCTGCCAAGGGAGGTGGTACTCTCACCTAACTTGGAGGTCTTCAAGAGGAGGCTAGGGAGGCACCTGGCTGGGGGCGTCTGACCTCAGCCCTCTTTCCTGCCTGGGGCAGGGGGTCGGACATGATGATCCTTCGGGGTCCCTTCCAACTCTGCAATCTAGGAATCTACGAAAGCTTGGTCTGGGGTTTGCCCAGCCTGTGCTGGGGGGAGGAGGGGAGAGAGGATGGATTCCTCCTGGACCCAATGGAGAATGTCTGTTGGGTTTGGGGGGGTTGCTGTAACACACAGTGCTTGGTTCATTCTTTTATTAAGAAAATCAGACAAACAGCAGAGTAACAGAGCAAGTGAGGAGGAGGTCAGGCTTAAAGAAGACATAAAGTGTAAAAAGAGTGGGAACTGAATGGGGAATAAGAGAAGCTTATTGTTTGTCAGTGCCCGTTGTTTGAAGGAGCCAGTCTTTATGACATGGTTTCTACCAGGCTCTTGTATTTTGGTTGGAAGGTAGGCAAGGAGAGGTTTTAGGTGAGTTCAGTAGGAATCAGTTCTGATGGCTGTTAGGAAGTTTGGAAGGAAAGGAGTTGCTCATTTCCAATGGCATAGATTTGCACTGGTTAGGCTGTTTGCCCAGTCTAATACAGCTAAACTAGTGCAGAAATGCTGACTTAATCTGGCTTTCCTAACTTCACACAATGCCTGATTCTGCAAACTGAGGAGCTCTTGGAGAAAGAAGCTGAGTGCCCATAGCAGTGTAGTAACAGCACTGAAGCTTTAACATACTTTTTCTGTTAAGCAGCTATCAACCTAGTTCACCAGGTAGTAATGTAGAGGTTTGCTTAATCTGCTATGAACATTTCTGATTGGAGTTCATGTGGTGGTCAGGCCTTACGAAAAGTCAGTCCCCTAATAGCTCTTCATAAAACTTCACCAGCTTAAAGTACTTCTTTGAGCTTAAAGAAAAAGAGACTTCCTGCCTTAATTAAATAAAGTTTGCATAATGCAATTCAAGTTAGTATTTTTAGACTGAAAAACTGAAGACTTTCTAAAGTAATTTGCTTATTTTAATGGTCTTTATCATCTTTTATTCCTTGAATTTAGATAATTCTTTGCTTCTCCAACCGTTTTGCACAAAGGCCCAGTTTTTGAATGGAAAAGCTAAACAAGACATGACCGAAAAGCTTGCTGGTAAATTTACATCTTGCTTTGCAACTTTACATTTATGTGTATTCCAGCCTGATTGACCAAACTGACCTCAAGATGCTTGAGGTTATGTTCATATTTCAGGTTATTTAGCAAGAGCCCACCACAATAGCAGCAGGGTTGCATACTGCAAATCTGTTCTTTAGTCAAAAAGAGTTTGAGCGTGCCTTGTGCTCCTGACACGAAGCTTAGTACTGTTAGACCAAAAATTACATGCTTGAGGTGGCTGTATATTTGCCTTAACGATAGGATAATACTTATGCTGACAGAGTTAGTTTCATGTTGGATTGGGCTGTAAGTATTTGCCTAACAGAAATGGATTGTCACCTTGGTTGTAAACCTGCACCTTGGTCAGTGCAGGAACCCCGTGTCTGTGTCACAAGTCGGAGGATTGGGACCTGCAGAAGAGATTGAGGGGCTCTGCCTGCTACCCCTCAGTGAATTTTTGGGGTAATTTTAATGCTCCCTGATTAGAGTTCTCAAACTACGATCTCCCATCAAGGTATCTGGTTTATTAAGACGCAAAGCACAGTGTAATACTGGCCTCAGAAAATTCCTCCATCCACCCCAGGAAGACTGACAGGGCTGCAGTTAACATTAAAGGCCTGGCAAACCCTGTTTCAAGGGCTTCAGTTTATATTCATGTATGTTTTTTAGCATAATATAAGCTTTGGCATTTTAGGGTTTAGGATTTTAGTAGCATAATATATGTTTTTAAAAGGATGTACTGTATGGTTGCACCTGGACTTGACAGCTTGGGGAGAAAGAGACTTGTAATTCACTTGTGCTGGGTTGAGTTGTGTTCTGTGTAGACTCAAGAGAGTCTACACCTTCCCACAAATATTGTCTAAATAGTCTGTTCACAAGCTGGATAAAAAATGCAGAGATAATAGTAATGTGTAGTGAACATATATTAATTTTGCTGTCCATAATTAATGGCAAGCTATTTCACATTTAGCTTGCAACCAGACACAAAATTGGTGCCCTCAATTTTCACGTTCAGATGGAGAAGATAGCATCTTTTGGAGTGTCTTTGTTGTGATTCCCCATCACTTTTCTTAGCTTAGCAATACAGCTTTCCAGTCCATTAGCACACTTTTAGTATTGCACAGTATTACATTTTCTGTCACCTGCAGCAAAAGTTCAATAACTGTGTCCATATCCTTTCAAATGAAAGAGAAGTAGTGAAGCAGATGTTATATAAGCTTCATCAACAGAGGGTAGTGAAGCCATTAGATAAAAGCATTTTATACATCTATTAAATGGTTTAAAATCACTGATGGTAAAATTTAGGAATGACACAAGGTTTGGAAAAGGGGTAAATAATGGTCAGACACACAGACTAAGCCTTTTATTATATTAGAATGCAAGCAGTATACTAAGCCTTGGTAATGACAGTTTTTGTTGTTCTCTTAATTTTTTCAGATATCGTTACGGAGTTATACCCACGGAAACCTCATGCTGTGGAGCAGAAAGTTTTAGTTGTCCTATGGCATGTCTTAGGAAACATGACAAATAGTGGCTCTCTGCCTGGAGCTGGAGGAAATATGCGGACAGCTACAGCTAAATTAACAAGAGCGCTTTTTGCACAAATGGGTCAAAGTCTGTTAATTCAGGCTGCATCTCAACCCCCACACATCAAAAAGAGCTTGGAAGAATTTCTTGAAATGGCTACCTAAAATAAATAATGTGTATGTGTGTGCACGTACGTGTGTAAATCAGTCAATCCATAGACTGAGACAGACTGACAACTGTTTACATGAACGCAAGTGGAACAATTCTAAAGTTGCTTTTTCACAGTGCCTGCACTTTGCACGTAGAAAACTAGAATGGCTGCTTTTTCGACAACCCGTAGAACACATCGCTGTCCTGTACCAGCACACGTACACCAAATCAGTATAACACTCATGAACTCTCTTCACCGGTGTTGCTTGCAGGTCACATGGAAGTATCTAACACGTTTAAAGAGAAGTCAGTCCTGCTCATTTGCACTCTTTAGAGATTACAGCACAGCACCCTGTATGGAATGTAATAGATACAAGATTTGTAATGAATAATATACTTTTTATCATGTAATCATGTTCTGACATGTTTTTCACTTAGCCTTACTTATGTAAGTGGGGGGGAAAAAAAAACAAAACTCTTGAGTTGTATATGGTACCAAGAACAGGGTTTTGTGTGATATTTGTGGAAGAACACGTGTTTCTTAAATCAGTCCACTTATATAATTGTGCAGTATTAGCTTGCTATTGCTGTTGTTACATGGATGTAACATTTGCTTGACAGTTGGGCATAATCATCTGCACACTATTGTAAAATTTTAACAGGCTATAATAAAGCATGATGACCAAAATTTTTAGGAAACAAATAATTTTTACAGAAGTACCCATTTGTCTTAAAAAGAATTCCATGCTTTGAATATAACTTCCATATTTTTGTGTGAAAACACTAAATTTTATTGTTCTGTCCGACACTTAAAATAGTGTTATCTCTCAGCCCAGCTGTGTAATACTCAGCAACGTAGTGCCAGGTCTTCTCTAGCTTTCCTCAGAATTCCTCAGCTCTAAGTACTGTACTCATTTTAAAAAGAAAAAAAGAATATTATAACAATAAATGGATTTATTTCTGTAAAGGTGTGGCAGATGGCTTTTTTCTCCCCCTCACAAACTTTCTAACTTTTTTGACAGCAAACTACTGGTGGAGAAGACCAGTTTTGTTTGGAAAGCTCATGTTTGCTCAGTAAGCGTAGGGCAAGGGGGGGTTCAGCTTGAAGCAAGGGATGCTTTTGTGGGCAATAGCCTCACAGTAAGGGTAAAAACAGACAACCAGTTTAATGCAGCGCTGATTGGTCTGGGATATGACTGGCACCAAAACAGATGTGGCAGAGTCATTTACACACAGGACTTCACCGGCGGTTAACCGGAACTAGTCACAATTGTTCCAAGGCAAAGCGTCAATTCGGGTAATTCACAAACACTTCATGTGGGACAATGGACTGGTCTATCTGTGCAGTTTGCTGCTAAATTAAATGCTCAAATCCAAATCAGGTCAGCTGTTTTTAGCCCAAGAACATAAGAACTACATTCACTAGATCAGACCATAGGTCCATCTTGCCCAGTCTTGTGCGTCTCACAGGGGCAGAGAGCGAATGTTTAAAGGGAGAGAGAATTGGGTTTGACCAGAGCTTCTTTTCACCGTTCCTTTCTTGCTTGCGGCCTCCAGCATTGAAAGTTTAGGAAGTTGTGATTCAGAGGCAGTGCCCGTTACTCCCGTGCTCCACAGCTACTGATGCTCCTCGCCGCCAAGACGTGTCCAGCCCCTCGCTTCTACCACACCCGGTGGCAATGATTTCCATACTCGTTCCATGCTGCATGAGAGAGAACTTCCTTCTGTTAGTTTTAAACTCACTAATGTCATTGTCACGGCTACTTCTTGTGAGAGACAGCAAATAATAAATCCCTGTTTACTTTTTCTGGGGGAACCAGTGGGTTGAGAGAGAGAAAGCTTGAGAGATGGGAGTTTCCTCGCTACTAATGTATGTTTATTCAGCAGACAGCGCACGTTCTTAGACTAAGCAATGCACTAGTTACTTGCAAATGTGTCTTGCTCCCTATCCTGTTGCTTAAGCAGCTCCGGGTCTCTGGGACGTTCAGAGGCATATTCTAGTAGTTCAGAAACCCAGCAGTCCCTTGGTCCTTTTAGTCCAATGACCCTTTGCTCCCAAATGGTTTTATATCTTTTGTTCCCTGCATATGCATTATTTTTGCTGCTACTCCTGGCAACTTGCAGACTACTAGTAGGATTTCTAGTGGGCATATTCCTCAAACTGAGAAAACCTTTTCTAGTTCCTAAAAATGAGAAAACATAATAGGTTTCTAGTGGGCATGTTCCGAAAACCTTCGAGGCACAAACGCATCTCTACCCGCACCCGTTTCTGGTTGCACCTTACCCCATCCCCACTCTCTCCATTCCTCTCCCCACTCATTGCCAATGCTGATGCTTTGTCAAAACGCGTGGCTGTTTCCTGGGCCGTGCCCTTCCAACGCCTCACCGGAGCGGGCAGCAGGTCGTTGGTTGTAGCCGTGTTGGTCGAAGGACACGGGCATGCCAGGGTCTTTGGGTAGATGTGATGTCTTTTACTAGGTAGTAAAAGTTCTAAGTAGTTGGAAAGAGCTCTGAGAACAGCAGACTCCCCGTGTCTGAAGAAGGGCGATTGCACCCGAATGCTTGCCGAGAACTTTTTCCCCGACGACTCAGTTGGTCAAATAAAAGATATCACACCTACCGGAAGAAGCTTGCTTGCAAGATTTCAGGCGCAGAGGAGAACGGTAGTGTCTCCCAATGCTTGGGGAAGGGTGTTTGTGCCTGAAAGCTTGCAAATAACTTTTCCCTAACTGTTTAGTTGGCATAATAAACGACATGGCATTTACTCAACGATTGCCAGCTGTGTTTTATCGTCCCAGCTCTGTCCTGGCCTGATCCTTGCTGCCTTTCTCTGGGCCTTCCCCCGCTCTTCTGCCCCCGCCCCGGGCTGCGGGGACCATATGGGGCACGGGCTCTCCGCTGTGGATGCCCTGACAGCTCGCCAAGAGGAAATGTTTCCAACTATTTCAGTTGATTTAATAAAAGATACCGGATTGACCCAAAGACCCGTGTCTGCCGGTGTCCTTAGACCAACACGGCTACAACCTACATCCCTAAAAGTACAGCATGACACCTCCAACATGGTTTCAGCCTCACCGCTGGAGGGGCTGGACACGCTTGCATGGCTGGGGAATGTGGTTTTCCATTTATTTATTTTGTTGGGTAACTTTTTTTTTCTTTTGTCCATGGGGCAACACGTGTTCCCCTAATTTTTTTTGGAGGGGGGGGACACGTGTATCGAGCCCCAGCCCGGCAGCCCTCGGCGGTGGCTGCGCCTGGGCCGCGCCGCACGTGCCACCCGCTCCATGGGCGCCGGCGCGCGGCCCCTCGGCGCATGCGCTCGCTGAGACCC